TTACTCTACTGGGACCCAATGGGGGGGGGGGGGGGGGAGGAGCATATATGGAAACACATTTATAATGTTTTGGGTCAAAAAAGTTAAGGTTTATAAATACCAAGTCGGATAAAATCATTCCTTCAATGGAGGTATGATTGATGTGTTCATTGTGCTATTTCATTCTCTCTATTTTCTAGCGATGAATCTATTTAACAATAAGATCTTTTTTTGGAAAAAAATTAATATTTTCACTAAACTTGAAAAAAAGATAAATTTACAATAAAGTTCAAAATAAGTCCATGTCTAAGTCTACTTCATACAAAGCAAAAACCTAGTCTAGGTTGAACATAATCTCTCACACTTTGAGAGACTAGGCATAAAATATATATGTGGGGTTATATATTTCATGGAAATTGCTGATTTTTTTTTCAATCTTTTTTCAAAGATAAAGATTAGATCAATAAATTTTATTGTGAAATTAAGTCTAAGTATCATTCCTCCATGCAAAATCATGTTTCAAGGTCTCTCTCTCTCTCTCTCTCCATATGCACTGTATAATCTTTCGCAATCGCATTCCTGAAATTGGGTGCTACGAATATATGCTAGCACATCACATGTGTCTGTCTTCTTACGATCAAAGCTATTCTCTATATGATCTCACAAGGATGGGATAAAGGCAGATATTGTACCACTGCATTGGCCTTTCATTTAATGCACTATCTACATAACTTTGGCAATAAATTATGTAGGGCTATAAGTAGTATCGTACTCAAGTGAACTGAACATTTCTAGCAAAGACACTGTTATAGGATAAGGACCCTCCAACTCTACTCGAATGACTACCATACATTTCATGAACAATGCCTAAAGGAACCATATCTCCACCAAAATCTATTTCCATCCTTCCAACCAGGAACTGCACTCCACTTGCTTGTATATGTGTGTTTGTGCGTGTGTATATATATGTATCTGTGTGTGTATATGCATATAGCATCATTAAATTCCTTAAAGCTCCGTGAGAATATAGGTTAAAAAGGAGAGAAGCTTGGCCTTGAAATGCAAGATTTAATCAACTTATGAAAAGCCAAGAGATACTGAAGAGGGCAAATGTGCAGATGGAAGAACTCTTCTTAATCACATAATTCAAGCAAAATTTGAAGGTAGAAAACTAGTCAAAGACTATGAAAGTTTCAAAAAGTGGAGTTTTAAACATATGTTACTGATGTCATTGTTAGTCTGTTAATGAAATGGATGGTGAGCTAGTCAATTTGATTCTTGAAAATAGCTCTTCCATGCATATTCCCACAAATTACCCATAATTAATCATCCTTATGCAGTTTCTTCACCTTCTATGAATAAGGCACGGGAACAAGTTCCCATGTTCATTCTTGTCTTGATTTCCATAAATGGGTCCTGAGGTTCCCGTAAAGTGATGAAATGAAAAGTCTCAGCTCACCTTTATCAATGGAAAAACCCTAAACCCTATTTTTTTTTTTTTGGGGGGGGGGGGGGGGGTCTTCGTGTGGGTGAAAGAGAGGAGAGAGATTTTGGACCATNGGGGGGGGGGGGGGGGGGGGTACTAGTATATCCATGGATAACATCAGTGCTCTGGCATCCAACCGTCCAAGTAGAAGAACAAGAATAATAATGTGAAATGGGGCAGATAAAGGAAGAACAAGGAAAGATATACAAAGTCCAAAATAAGGAAAAATTCCAATTACAAAGAATAACACGAAGAACCATAACCAGAATTAGTCCTTCAATAAGCCTAAAGATGAGTATTTTACAAGGATAATCAGAGTAGGTCTATGTAATAGTGAAGTGGGTTCTTATCAAAAGATAACCCAGCTTCACAAGTCAGTGAGAGAAATACATACCGGAAAAAAAGGAACAAATCCTTTTTCACTCCTGTTTTGGCTCCTTTCGCATCTGGGAAGGTACCATGTCCTGAAGCAGTCCATGATCTCTAAGCAAAGAGGAAGGAGAAGGAGAAGGAGAAGAAGGAAGAAGCTTTCTCTCTTGAAGCAAAGAAGGAAATGAAGAACTAGTAGTGCCAAAGTTCAAAGAAGGTGTTGGGTTATGGAAATATGATTGTTGTTGTTGTGGGTGGCGTTGTGGAATAAAAAAAGAGGAAGTAGCACCACCACCACCACCACCACCACCACCACCGCTGCTGCCGCCAAAACCAGCCATTCCCGGCACCATTCCAATACTTCCACGAGGTGTCACCGGGCACTGATGTGTGTGGGTACCTTCATAGGTCGTAACAACGATTGATGGATCGTCAGATGATCGTTCCACTCTCTTCTTCACACCACATCCTGGACTAGTGCAACGATAGTAGCTCCTGCAATAACAATGCATGCAGCAAAAAAAATCAACAAAAACCCGAATTATAATCGCAATAACAAATAACATGAATCACCCTCCAATTTTGAATCCCAACTCATTAAGTACTAAGAAAATCAGATCATGTAGATGATGGAAGGACCATATGGGATGGTGATATATACCTTGGAAAAGGGCTGTTTTTCACAGCTTTTTGGCCGTACTTCCTCCATCTATAACCATCATCCAAGTGATCGACCTCACTCTTGGTCATGAACGCAAATCTGGGTTCTCTTTGCCTTTTCTGGTTCTTCTTTTTGGGTTTCAACCTAAACCCACAGAATAAAAATCACTTTTTTTACTTCATAGAGATAATAAAAAGAAAACAATAAAACCATAAATATCGAATCTACGTAATTCCCAGTAATCAGATCATAGAGAAATCCCATAAAAACAAAATCTATCATTGGTGGATTTGTTAACCAGTACTTTTATTTCATAGTTTATCCAGAGCTAGCATATGTGATAAACAAAGGAGAAAAAGTAATTTATTTATTAAGATATGTATTAATACTGTGTGCGTGATGAGCTTACTGTTTCTTAGTCTTTTCTTGATCCTTCTCTTCTTCTTCAACTGTTTTAGACTGCTGATCATCATTTGCAGCTTCTGTCGAAGATGAAGAGATCGAGGAAGAATTCGGCGTCACCGGAGTGTTTACAAATTCAGTTGACTCCGGAACAGTCGAAGCCGGCGATGGAAGAGGTGATGATTGTGGTGGCATCAACGGTGTATGAAGCAAATCGAATAAATAAGGACTACTATAATCTTGTATACCCATCATGTCCATGTATCCTAAAGAGCCCTTTTCTCCATCACATGCCATGTCAAAGATGCTCGGTAAAGCGAAGCTCGTCGACCGTATCTGATCGGAAAATGTTAAATTCGCCATCGAATTGTCGGTGTTTATCTCCTTTTTCTCCTCCATAGATAGATCAAATGCGTAGATTCTACATTTGAAGTTGTTCAACTGTAGTCTTCTTGCAAAAAAGTTGAGAGAGAGAGAGAGAGAGAGAGAGAGAGAGAGAGAGAGTGAGAGTGTTTGGTTTTGGGTTTATAAGTGGGAAGAGACTTTTTGTTTTTTTTTTTTTTTGGGGTGGTTTTTGGAGCACAGGTTGGCCGAGGGAGGTTTTCCACCTTGGGAAAAAAGAGAGGGGGTTGACCGGCAATAGCAGGTGGACAATAGAGACGGAAACGGGTTAAGTTGGGGCATTGGGCAATAAATGTATTATAGGACCGCCGAGTGGTCCGGCATTGTAGTCTACGCTTTCATACGCGGGTTGTTGACTGGTAACCGGATGAGTGTGAACGGAGTTCCGTTCACACGTGGGATGAATAAAAAGTTTTGGCTCGTGTGTCAAAGTAAATCTAGGTTTTGGTTTTTCTCTTTCGCGGCTTTGCCATTTAACTTTAACGGAAAATTCTTTCTTGGATTACAAGAATGTCCTTGAGCCCCTTCATTCTTTTTCTTCATCTTTTTTTTTTTTTCATTTCATTGTTTCATTTTTTATTTTTCATACGATGTTAGACTATCAATATATCTTGGCATCACGATAAAATTATTATATTATGATTTGAGTGTTACATGTTTAATTTATGACAATAATTTTTCTGTATTTTAATATAAAATTACATATATTTGACACTTTTCGACTTTGCCGTTATGAGTGTTTTATTTGCTTGATTGCTCTTTTTTAGTACCAAATTTTTACGACGTGAGGTTGTTGGTGGACTTAAATCTAAAATTTATAGAGTCTAATATTTTGGGTTCGATACTAAAAATTAAGGTAATATTTATTTCAAGTTTTTTGAGGAAGAGTGCAAGCATGATAGGTTTTTTTTTTTCATATTCATATTCTTAAGATAAAAAGTGGTTAGATGAAAATGAGCAGATGTGCAATTGATTAACTAATGATGTTGTGCTATTTTCAGTTTTGGAGCATTTCTTTTGATGCTTCCTAAAGTTTGCGCCTTTTCTCTTTACTTGCATCCTTCCATGGAGTGGGCCTATGTAGGTAGGCTCCTCACCTTTTCAAGGCATGCACATAGAATAGTTGCATGGGCTACACCATGATTAAAAAGTACTTATTTGCGATGATAATTTGTTAACTAAAATTGTTCCACACATTCACCAATAATTTAAATTGAAAAAAAATATTGAATATAACAGTGATATTAAGTTATTATTATCAAGTGGTGTAACCAATTAAAAATAAATTAATAACAGTGATAATAGAGACATGTTGTAAATTCAGATGACTTGAGTTTTAATCTTAGTAATTTTTTGAGGCTAGACCATGAAGGGTTTATCCCTCATGAATAACCTAGTCCTGACATGGTTGAATTGAAAAAAGAATTAGTCGTAGTATGCGTAAGTTAGTCCAAATATCTTTGACCATTGAACTAAAAGAAATAAAATAAATTAATATGTAAACAATTAAATCTCATTTGATTTATTGTGTTCATCGGTACGTTGGATGTTAAACGGTGATATCACGTGATATAAGGACACCTTGATGACCAATATTTACTCCTAAATTGGTGCTCTAAGAAGTTTTGGTTGTCATTTCATAGAACTACATTAGGATGATAGCATGTCACTAGCCAGAAAAACAACACGTATTCATACAAAATTGATCAAGTTGCTATATAGGTAAGGACCAGCTATATACCTACACACAAAGTAAGCATACCTATAGGACCCTACAAGTGGAATCTATAAAACAAGAACAAGAGTTAAAAGTAATCCCTACTCTGGTAGGGCGTGGGGACTAAACCTCCGCTATTAAAGGCTGATTATCACATTTTGTCTCTACTTAAGTATTAGGAGGGTCTAATTGGACTGACTGATGAGAATGAAATCCGATACCACCTAAGACTAGAGGGACTTGCCATTACTGCAGGGTAATTTCATTGCCACCCCAGAGTCGTGAGGTTTAGTTATGAAATATTCTTTTCGTACATTGACATAATATCTAACTCTCCGTAAGTCGGTGATAACGTGTGATTAACGTCAAATTAATGAGGTGGATGATAATAATAATGTTTCAGATGTTTATTATCAGATTCTGATAAATGCACACAANGCCTTGCCATTACTGCAGGGTAATTTCATTGCCACCCCAGAGTCGTGAGGTTTAGTTATGAAATAATCTTTTCGTACATTGACATAATATCTAACTCTGTGTAAGTCGGTGATAACGTGTGATTAACGTCAAATTAATGAGGTGGATGATAATAATAATGTTTCAGATGTTTATTATCAGATTCTGATAAATGCACACAAATTTCTATAAAAAGTAAAAAAAATTAGAGAAAAAATAATTGCATTTGTGAAGTGTGTGAAGAATTGTAGGGTCGGGTCGGGTCGGAACGAGACGAGACGGGATGGCCCGTGAGGTCCAATTGTATGAGATGTGGTCCACAAGGTGACACAAATTTCCGTGTCAAAAACTCAATAGTTTGCTTCTTTTCGGACAGAGTTAACATCGTGACTAAACCAACATCTCCACCATTTGTAATTAAACTCGTTAATTACCTTGCTATCTTAGACTCATTAACCATCTTAATAACAACGATTCTATTCTTAATGATAAATATATGCTTTCCAAAGTTTTAAAATTTTCTCAAAAAATAAAATTTTAAAGTGATAAAATATCAAAACTCACATGCCTCGACGACGACGTATTTTGAAGTTTATGAGAATATTTTTGAGGTGTTTTGTTTAATATTTCAAACCGTTTTTTGTCTTTAAATTAGGTGAATGATGTATCACAAGAATATTTTAATCTAGATTTTTCGTGGTCGCAGTTGAAGATGTATGTGTTTTTCATTCANATTAGAGAAAAAATAACTGCATTTGTGAAATGTGTGAAGAATTGTAGGGTCGGGTCGGAACGAGACGAGACGGGATGGCCCGTGAGGTCCAATTGTATGAGATGTGGTCCACAAGGTGACACAAATTTCCGTGTCAAAAACTCAATAGTTTGCTTCTTTTCGGACAGAGTTAACATCGTGACTAAACCAACATCTCCACCATTTGTAATTAAACTCGTTAATTACCTTGCTATCTTAGACTCATTAACCATCTTATTAACAACGATTCTATTCTTAATGATAAACATATGCTTTCCAAAGTTTTAAACTTTTCTCAAAAAATAAAATTTTAAAGTGATAAAATATCAAAACTCACATGCGTATTTTGAAGTTTATGAGAATATTTTTGAGGTGTTTTGTTTAATATTTCAAACCGTTTTTTGTCTTTAAATTAGGTGAATGATGTATCACAAGAATATTTTAATCTAGATTTTTCGTGGTCGCAGTTGAAGATGTATGTATTTTTCATTCATCATTCGTGTGTTGGAGCTGAGGAACGTATGTGTTTGGCACACCACTCACCTGAAGGCTGAGGCCACTCGACAATCACACGAAGTAATAAACCGTACGTCATAAAGCAATGATGAAATCAGCTTCATTGTGTTTCTAATATCTCCATGTTATAATTGCACGGGAAGCTTATGATGGTCACTCACCCAAAGGTACAACCCTACCGTCATAAAAAAATACTTCAGGTTTCTTTCTTTTTTTTTATTATTATTTTAAAATTTTCTTAGATTATGTACAGTACTTATAAAGAGTTTGCNTTTTTTTTTTATTTATTTATTATTATTTTAAAATTTTCTTAGATTATGTACAGTACTTATAAAGAGTTTGCGTTGTTTACTTTTCTTTCATTTTCACAACTGCATCCTTAAAGACTCGTTCAAGGGTTTTGCTTCCCACAAAACCCATGAACACAAGAAAAGAGAAGAAAAGAAAAAAATAATTGCAAAAATACAAACGTCACATCGTTCTGTCTAAGAATTTGTGGCTAACAATTTTAGGAGTCGTCTATTAATACTAATAAAAAAAAATGGTACCATATCGTATTTTATCATATTTATGAGTATTTTTATTACTGTTATGGTATCAAAAAAAGTAATAAAAATAATTACTATAATAATAATAAAAATACCTACAAATATAGTAACTTATCTATTAGGAAGCACAAATATAGATACGTGATATGAGTACGATACGATACGAATACGGCGATACGAAAAAAACTTAAAAAAATAGGATACGAATACGACCATAATACGTTTATAATAAAATATATTTTATATTTTACTATTATTTAAACACTTAGAAATTACAATTTTTTAATAATTCTTTAACATTAGTAAATAAAATTAAGAATTTTTACCATGAAAAAGATGTAATTTCAACTAATTATAATATGTTTATAAAATGAGTATGACCAATTGAAGGAATCATATTGACCAAATTTTTTTTTTTTTGAAGGAATCATCCCTACATTTAACTAGTTGATTTTACAAGTATTTATTTTTAAAAGTATAATGTAAATGACTTATTTTTTTTATACTCTCTTAACATGTAATAATAGATAATACTTAAAAAACACTCGTGTCTTTAAAATTAGATAAAATTTTGTTGATATTTTATATTGTATGTGAACTCTAAATAAGGGTATAGCTTAAAATTGAAAATTGTACATCTTACTCCATGTTTAGAAGTATCCGCGAAGTATCCATATATTTTATTAATTATCGTATACGGATGATGCGTATCCGATATGTATCTTCGAGTATCCGATGAGTATCGTATCCGATACGGGTACGCCGACTCTGACGAAATATCCGTCCTTCATAACTTATCCACAGAAGTAATAATTTTTTTTGTAGCGAATAATAATAGTAGAAATAGTTACCACAAATGAGATAAATTACTCATAAAAATAATAAAATATTTATTTTTAAAAAATTCATAAAAATTATAAAAATATAAATGAAATTAATAAAATTTAAAATTATGGTACCAAATATTTGTTTTTTGGTACCTTAGTCAAGACCAAAACTCTAGTTTGGAACTCTTTTCACTTGTTTCAATATGTGAAACCATGATAGAAGTTGTAAGGGCAAAGTTGGCAACCTGGGATGTGAAAGTTTCGTGAAGAAATTATTACAC